TTCCGACCGGGGAGGCGTACTGCCACGCGGGCAGGCGCACCTGGCACGCTCCGCGCGTGGCCTCAAACGTTGCGCACCTGGCGCGGCTGGAGCATGCGGCACGCACACTTTTGGTCGGCGGGGCGAGAGCGAACCTCTTCCGCCAAGAAGCTGGGCGGGCTACGCGCAGCTCTCATGAGGGAAGACAGGGCACGGGCGGGCGGGGCCTCGGGCGGCCGGAGGGGGCGGGGCCGCAGCACGCACACGTGGCGCACGCGGATCGCGTGGCACACCTGGCGCACCAGGCGTCCCGCCAGGCTTGGGCCACAAGGGTATTGCCTGGCGCACCTCGCCCCCCCGCGTTGCGCACATGAGGCTAGTGTTGGTTACCATGGGCTGTCCATCGACTACCGCGGAACATGCTGCGGCTCGGGTGCTAGTTATGTGTTAGGAGGGCGGGTGGGAGTGAGCGAGACGCCTCAAGATGGCCCCCAGACGGTTGCCAGTGCCCGCGGAGCCCTCGGATGACCCCCCAAGTGGCCAACATGACTCCGAAACCTGAGGGAAATCCATGTGTTTTGCCGTCTCGCGTTTTCGCGTCCGATGGGCTTCTGGGGCGTCAAGATGGCCCAGGAGAGACCCAAGAGAGGCCCAAGAGGGCCCCAAGAGCGCCCAATAGCGCTCCAAGAGCGGCCCAAGAGGGCCCCAAGGCTCAATTGTTGAGCCTCCGAGAGGGGATGGCCAGATTAATGACCCCCCCTCTTTCTCATGTTTTTGAGCCATGGGGCCCAAGAGCCCCCCCCCCGAGAAGCCCCGTGGGGACCCCAAGAGAGCTCCTCCTCCTCCTCCTGCTCCTCCTCCTCCTCTTCCTCCTCCTCCTCGTCATCATCGTCATCGTCATCGTCATCGTCATCGCCATCGCCATCGCCATCGTCATCATCATCATCATCATCATCATCATCATCATCATCATCATCATCATCATCATCATCATCATCATCCTTCTCCTCCTCCTCCTCCTCAGCATCATCACCATGATCATGATCATGATCATGGTCATGGTCATCATCATCATGATCATCATCAGCATCAGCATCATCATCACCATCATCATCATCATCATCATCATCATCGTAATCGTCATCGTCATCGTCATCGTTATCATCATCGTCATCATCATCAGCACCAGCATCAGCACCAGCATCAGCATCATCATCATCATCATCATCATCAGCATCAGCATCAGCATCAGCATCAGCATCAGCATCAGCATCAGCATCAGCATCAGCATCATCATCATCAGCATCAGCATCAGCAGCATCAGCATCAGCATCAGCATCATCATCATCATCATCAGCATCAGCATCAGCATCATCATCATCATCATCATCATCATCATCATCATCATCATCATCATCATCATCATCATCATCATCATCATCATCATCATCATCATCATCATCATCATCATCATCATCGTGCCGCACTCCTCCTCCTCCTCCTCCTCCTCCTCCTCTTTGTCCTCTTATTCCCCCTCCTCCTTCTCTTTTTTCAACTCCGCCTTCTCATCCTCATCCTCCTCTTCCTCCTCCTACCAAAGTGATCCGAGGAGGTCGAGCATGGCTCAAGATAGCCTGCGACAGACCTTCAAGAGGCCTCAAGGCAGACTCACAAGGTGGCCCAAGATAGCTGAGCATGGCTCAAGATAGCCTCCGACAGCCTCAAGCCGAACATGGCTCCAGATAGCCTCCAAGAGGCCTCGAGAAAGCCTCCGATCGTGTCTGGATGGGCTGGTGGGTGTACGCGAAGCGTTGGGTCGGGCAGGAGGTCCTCCCACAGGCGACAAGTGAAGAATGCTCAGAAAGGTGCCCAAGAATAGCCAAACAATAAGGAAACACCGTTCCCAGACACGATTGCAACCATTCTGCAAAGACAACGAGGACCATGAGGAACGAGGACAAGAAAAAACCCTCTTGCAACCCTCCTCCTCATGGAGGGACCTGCCCGGCCCAGAGGCCGGTGGGGCCGCGAGGAAGCGCCACGAGGCAGTCCCGAGGGGAGAGCCCGGCCGTGGCGCCGGGCCCGCGCCCCGCCCCCGGGCCCGCGCCCCGCGCGCGCAGAGGCGGGGCGCCTCTGCGCAGAGCCGAGGCACCCGCTCCCGGGCGGGCGGGGCCGTGCGGCCACGCTCGGCGAGGCGATGGACGTTACCAGCCTCGAACTTATCTAAAGGGAAATTAGGACACACAAATAAATACACACAAAATAAAAATAGTCCCCATATTTTCCCATATTTTCTGGGTTTTTGTCTTCCCCCCCACAGCCCATCTTTTCCCATATTTTCTCGGGAATCGAGGATTAATTGTGTCTGTGTGTTTCTTCCCCTCCTGATTATCCCTATCCCTAAGATGGGCGGGCACAAAAAGCGAGGGCAATCCTAGAGGTTGGGCGGGCTGGGCTGAGCGGCCAAGTCGAAAAAGTAAGAACGCTACGTGTGAGTTTGTGGCGCTCCGCGCGGATTTCTCGGATCGGCGCTGGGCCCTTCTGGCGTCGCCTCCAGCGCCGCCCCTGGCGCGCTCCGCGCGCCAGGCAAGGGGGTCCAGCGCGGATCCAAGAAATCCGCGCGGAGCGCCAAAAGTTCGTGTGTATGTCGCTTCCTCTTCGGCGATGAACGTAACCAGCCTCGAACTTATCCCTATCCCTGAGATTCGATCGCCCGTTCTTATCAGTGGGACTCGATTGGATCGACTATTCTTACCAATCGATCGACTCTAGTTCGATCAAATTACAGTCGGACTCGATTGGACAGGGCACGCGAGAGGACACAAGAACCCTCCGAGGGCCACGTTGCCACAGGAATGTAGGAAGAATGGGTCGCAAGACACAGGACACAAGGGTACCCTTGATTTGGCAGGGTCGACCTGCCAATCTGGGCCGACTGTACTCACGGACCACATCCCAGAAGTCATTTCGAGCACCCGGAAAAGTGTCGAAAGGGTGTCGAAGTAGTATCGGACGAGCGTCTCCCAGGGCCCGACGCGTGAACACCCTCGAGCTTCGGTGTTTTTCTCGTGCTCGAAGCTCCTTCGGTGACCAAGGCTAAAGTAGGTTGGAACATCATGGCGATCGGAGGTCCATGCCGCCCCCCTCCAGGAGCCTATCCCTCCTGATGTTGCCCCTGGCTCCCCCTTGGGGCGAGACTGGCGCGACCACGGCGTGGACCCTGGGTGCCACCAGGCAGGAGGCATCGGCGCTCGGTGGCTTCTGGAGCCGGAGAGGCGCGCCACGACCCAGGAAACGTCGGGACTTCGGGCGCCACCTCTCTTCTGAAGGGGCCCCAGGACAAACAAATAAATACACACGAATAACAAGATTCCCTATATTTTCATATATTTTCTGGGTTTCTGTCTTCCCCCCCACTTCCTATATTTTCCCATATTTTCTCGGGAATCGACGATTAATTGTGCCTGTGTGTTTCTTTTCCTCCTGATTTCTGGAGCCGGAGAGGCGCGCCACGACCCAGGAAACGTCGGGACTTCGGGCGCCACCTCTAGTCGGCCACTCGGATCTGGGCGGCAGCTCGGCCGGGGCTCTCGCAGCCTGGGGCGGCGACGGGGGATCACGATAGGGAGGGCCACGATGCGTGGGGCCACGATGGGGGGGGATTGGGGATCGGGATAGGGATCTGGGTAGGGAGACGCGCCGGTCGGAAGAAGGGGGTAGAGACATATCGTAGAAGGCGTCGGAAATAGATTGGGCTTCCGCCCGCCCCTGAAGAGGAGGGAAGAAGGACATCGGTCGACCCCTGAAATAGGAAGGCGCCTTAAGCAGACCAGGATCCGGGAATCCGAGAATACCTACTCTCAACTACCGGCGTGTATGTGCAGTCCGCTGTTGTCTTCGGCGAGCAACCTCGAGCCTCGATGCTGATCGGCCCTCGACTGAGAAGAGAAGGACCGGCCCGAGGCTTCCGTGCGCTTCCGGAGGCCTGCGCGGACCCGTCGAGAACCCGCGCTCGCGCCGCGCTCTCTTCTCGGACGCCTGGGGCACCAGGTCCCAGATCCCTCGAGCCTACCCCAGGTTCCGTGGTAGGAGGGAGGGGGTCACAGCCCTCCCGGGCGAGAAGCTTCAGACGCCCCCCGTCCGGCCATGAGAGGGCCGCCCTTTGCCAAGGCCCCCCCGAACCCTCCAAGACAGCTCAAATCAGACCCCCCCCCAAAAAAATATGACCCCCCCCAAATGTGACCCCCAAATGCGACCCCCCAAATGTGACCCCCCCGCCCCCAAATGTGACCGCCCAAACGTGACGCCAAATGCGGAGCAACCTTGAACCCCCATTACAGACAGGCCGCAGAGATGATGGACGGTAAAGAAGGGACGACGCCACTCTTTGGCCCCAAAAGCTCCGGAGTGGCACGAGCAGGGCTAAGAGGAACAACCACATAATGACGTAAGGAACACACCGAGCACCATTCGCACCCAGACTGGTCATTACCTTAGCGCCTTGACTGTATCGACCCCCTCTTTTTGGCGAAACTATATCGCGTCTCGCCTCCTGGAGGTAATACCCCGCTCCTGATGCGGGATCCCACCGAGATCCTGGTAGGATTCCAACAAACTCCGTATCGTGCTGTCCTACTCCTTTTACTCCCAAGGCACGCCCCGCGGACTGATCAAATGCATCGATTCCTCGGCGCTGGCGATCTCATTCTGCGGTTCCCCGGCCTCAGGAATCAAGCAATTGAGTGCTACTCATGACGTCGGGGGGGGGGTCGGTAGTTTGAGTTCAAGGTCAGAACCTCGACTCGAACATGCGATGTCTTGATGGCTTCCATACGCGGTCTCCTGAAGTCCCGACCCCTTCCACCCGGCCGGCGTTCCATCCCGAGCTGTTCTGTTGACGCTCCCGAGGCCAGGCGAAGCCCCGTGGCGGCCGAGCGCTGCGGAAACACCTCGCGGGGTGGTGCTCTCGCGACGCGAGCACGTCTGGCGGCGGCGGCGCCGACGGCGAGAAGGCCGGCGGCCTCCAGGTCGAACGGGCACTCGTCCGCGAGCACGTGCAGCTCCTCGGTGAACGAGGTCGCCACGAACACCTCCTGCGCGGCGTCGCTCACGGAGACGTCCGCCTGACTCCCCGCGCTGCGGCGGGCGGGGGATGCGGGGAGGGGGCAGGCGCATGCGCGTCCTCATCCTCCTCCCTCCTCCCATATACACCCTCCTCCTCCTCCTCCTCCTCCTCCTCCTCCTCCTCCTCCTCCTCCTCCTCCTCCTCCTCCTCCTCTTCCTCCTCCTCCTCCTCCTCCTCCTCCCCCATTCGTTTTCCTCATAAAAAAACTTCTCCCTGTCGCACCCCAAGGCCGGTCGCAAGGGCGGGCCGGGCGTGTCGCCTGGGACTTCCTCTCCATGTATGACCCTGAAGCTGAAACATTGGCAACGGCTTCACAGATGGAGGGCGGGTCACTTCCAAAATGTGGCTTTCGCCTTAGCGCCGCACGCATCCGTTTGAACAATTTGCAAGAGTTTCACGGGTTGAGGGCGGGTCGTCTTCAAAATGTGGATATCGCATCAGCGTCGCGCTGATTCGTTTTCAAACGCAGGAGTTTTACAAATTCAAAATGCCTTTATCGCTTTAGCGCCGCACGCATTCATGTTCGAAATAAAGCTGCAAGATATTCACGGATTCCCATGGTCAACGTACCAGGCATGGTGTTTTGGAAGGACTCTGGATTGTGAGGGTGCAACAGTTACTTTGATTCGCGAAGTTGAAGTCCCAATAATGGTGTTCTAACACGATTCAAGACAGTCAAGACGCAACAATCAGATTGATCCGTGGCATTGGAGTCCCCCGAATGGTGTTTTGGCATTCTTCAGGGTCTTCAAACGGTTGTCTCCCAACGAGACACTTCCCTCAGTGGGAATGAACCTTGTATGGGGCCTACGAAGACGGAGCTTGGAGAGAGGGTTTATTCCAACATCGTTGGTGAGTCCTGGGTTTACTCTGGTCCTCCTCATAATCCTCCTTCTCCTCCCTCGTGCACGTTCCTCATCCTCCCTCCCCCCCTCCTCCTCCCTCCACCTCCTCCTCCCCCTCCTCCTCCCCCTCCCCCCTCCAGCTCCTCCTCCAGCTCCTCCTCCTCGTCCTTCTTCTCCCTCCTCCAACCTCCACCCTCCCTCCTCCTCCTCCTCCTCCTCCTCCTCCTCATCATCATCATCCCTCGTGCACGCTCCTCCTCCTCCCTCCACCCTCCTCCTCACTCCTCCCTCCTCCTCCTCATCATTCACCCTCCTCCCTCCTCCTGCCTCCTCCTCCCCCCCTCCTCCCTCCACCTCCTCCTCCTCCTCCTTCTCAGATCTCCTGGTCATCCTCATCCTCATCCTCATCCTAATCCTCCTCCCCTCCTCCTCTATTCCTCCTCCTCCTGATCCTCCTCCTCCTCCTCCTCCTCCCGCTCCTCCTCCTCCTCCTCCTCCTGCACCCCTTTTTCTGATTCGTCATCGTAGTATGGTTCTTCTTCTCTCTCTCTCTCTCTCTCTCTTTCTTCTTCCTCTTTTTTGTATTCCTCCTCCCCCTCCTTCTCCTCCTCCCAGTCACGAAAATGGCGAAGGATGCAGGAAGGGGGCAGTGAGGGCGGTCCAAGATCGAACTTCGAGGATCGCGAATTCGATTGGTTTTCCGCCCTTTGGGGTCTGTGGAAGATGCCTCGTCGCCACGGCTGCATCCGCCTCTAAATTCTGGCAAGAACGCTCTTCCTGGGTGCAAGAAGGGGGGATTCAGCATGAATGCAAATTTCCCCAGGGGACAAGGGTTAGGTCGGGCATGTCCTCCTACAGACGAATTTCGGAAGGAAAATAGGAAATTGTCAAAAAAGGCATTCAAACATAAGCATATGACATGTCCGGAATTCGTCCCGATACTTTTTCACTATTTTTGAATTTTCCTCCTGTAGAGGCACATGCCCGACTTAAGACAAGGGGCTCCTGGAAGTTTTGAAGCCGTTTTCGGGCCCCCGTGGGCCCTCTCCAGGCCCTGCGACCGTCTAAAACCAACCCAGGATGAGAAGCTGGGGGGCCCTGGGGAACAAGACTCTGTTCCTTTGCCAGAGGTTACGCAAAAAAACAACCAGCACACTGCGTCTTCTCATGATTGCAATTATCGGACTCCTGTTGGGCCTCACTGGGCCCCCGGACCGTAAATACCACCAGCCCTTAGGGCGTGAGTGGTTTGGCAGGTTTCCTCTTCCAAGCCCTATTATTACCCCCCCCTTCCCCCAGGCGATCAGCGGCCAACCAGGACCAATGAGGGCAACCCTCCCAGACCATCCCTGTCAACAAAAACAATGTGAAGTCAACGTTGGCGGGGGGGGCGCGAGCACCATGCATTGTTTTTTGACGGGGACGGCGGGGGTGCCCGCATTTTTGCCTGCGGCGCGCAGGGCCGGCATCCCCCTTGAAAACAGTGCGCGGCTACCCCGCGATCTTTGTGCATTGGTTTTGCTTGGGTCGGCGGGGGTGCTGGCATATTGCCTGCTATGTGCAGGCCTTCCAGACGCTATGATGCCCATCCCGCCGCAGTTGAATACCTGTTTTTGACAAGGGTGGTGGGGGCCGACACGTTTCCCGATGTGTACTGCCACGTGCGCAGGCGCACGTGGCACACTCTGCGCGTGCCTCAAACGTGGCGCACCTGGCGAGCTGGAGCATGTGGTGCACATGGCGCACGTGGATCACGTGGCGCATCTGGCGCACCAGGCGTCTAACGTCTAACACGCTTCGGCCACAAGGGTGCCTGGCGCACCTGGCGCGCCTGCCACGCCTGGCGCACCTCGCCCCAGCGTTGTGCACATGAGGTCAGTTTGGGTTCCCATTAGCTGTCCATCCAACGACTACCGCTGAACATGCTGCAGCTCGGGTGCTACTTAAAGATGTGTTGGGCGGGCGGGTGGGAGTGAGCAAGACGGCTTGCGGGCGGGGAGGGTGTCGTGACCCCTCCCCCTACACTCTCCCCCAGGACCTGGACGGGGCGTTTCGCGAGGGGCCGGAGCGCCCAAGACGGCCTCGGCAAGGAAGCCAAAATCCGCCGGCCCCCTTGTGGGGCCACCAGGCTGTAGGCGCGGGTTCGCAGTTTCCAGTACCAGTTGTAGCTTGTAGTTTCCAGTGTTACAGTTCTGCTTCTTGCTGGTTACTGTAACTAGTTGACTTCTTGCTGGTTACTGTAACTAGTTGATTGACCGCGCGAGGGGGGGGGAGGCCCAAACAAGACTTTTAGCGTCTCCTGGGCGCGTTGTCTGAATTGCTGGGGGGGCTCGAAATCGACACCCCTCACGCAGATCCGCGGGGTCAGGGTCCAAAAACACAGGGGATTTGCCACATTTCTGAAATTCGGTGCCACCCCTCACGCAGATCCGCGGGGTCAGGGTCCAAAAACACAGGGGATTTGCCACATTTCTGAAATTCGGTGCCACCCTTCACGCACATCCATCGCAAGGCGTGGTAACCCAAACTGCGAGAACTCCCTCGGCCCTTTAATCGCAAGGTGTGGTAACCAAGCCCGTAAACCATACACGTCTTACCAATCGCCAGGTGTGGTAACCCCTCTTGTGATCAGTTGGTTTTGCTGATTGCGAATCGGCTTCGCATGAAGTTTCGATACTGCTTCACGACAGCGCCAAGGCCTCATGACTTAGCTCTTCCATGGCCCATTCTCCGAGAGAGGGGGCCGGCGGCAGGGGGCGAAGCCCTTACGGATCATTGACTTGATTCAGGTGTTGTTCACATGCTGGCCCCCTGTGGGGGGACCCTAATGTACGGCCTCTCATTTGATCGCATCCAAGATGGAGCCCCAAATGGCACCTGAGGCTCACAAGGGTGCAAAACGGCGCTGCGAGAGGGCCCGCCCAACATTACCCGACCCGCGCCGAACGCATCATGGGGGATCCACGCTTTTCCGGTGCAATTCGGAAGCTCCTCGATTGCTCCAGATTTCTTCACAACGTTTCACGAAGACCCTGTCGCCGAAAAGCCAATCCATGACTTATGTTGCTCCCATCGCACTTAGAGACCACATCCCAGAAATAATTTCGAGCACCCGGAAAAGTGTCGAAAGAGGGTCGAAACAATGTCGGACGAGTGTCTCCCAGGGCCCGACACGTGAAAACCCCAAGTTTCGGTACGTTTTTGGTGCTGGAAACTCTTGCTGGTGATGAAGGATAAAAGTAGGTTGGAACATCATGACACGCAGTCCCTGTGTCGCCGAAAAATCAATCAATGACGTTTCAAACGGCCTCTTGACGGCCGAGGAGGTGTCCAACTCGCCGCAGGCGGCCTCCGAGAGCACTCCCTGGAGGGCCCCAGCCACCAAAGAGCGTCCTCGTCCTTTGAGGCGACGTGCAGTTTTAGAGTGAATGCATTGAGGATATCCTTCACGACGCCCAGAACTGCCCAACCCACCCCCCCAGACCGCCCCAATGCGGCCCAGGAGGTCTCCAGGGGAACCCCAAGACATCCGCAAGAGCTCTGCAAGCCCTCCAAGCGTGCGTGCGTAGCCGTAGGCTCTGACAGCCCATGGGCCAAAAGGCAGAAACGTCAAATCACAATGGGAAAATGGCGTGGCGTACTCCCAGACGCCAGCGCGGTTCGTCCGCCGCTGCCGCTGGTAACTGCTGGCCCGCTCCAAACGAGCCGGATGGCGTCTGGCATCACACACTGCGCACCCACTCTGCTCTTGGCCAGCCCACCCTCCGGACGTACCTGTCCGTCGCCGGCGATCACGAGCCAGGGCCAAGAGGAAAAAGTCGAGGCCGATTCAAGGCCCAAGAGGGTGAACGTTTTTTTATTCGGCGTTTCGACATTGGGAGGAAAGGGGGTGAGGGGGGGGGTCTGGCTCCGGACCTCTGCTTAATGCCACTGTTTGCAACAGTGCTGCCTCTGGGGGAGAGGCTCCACCTGCTCGAAACAGGCGCCCAAAACGGCCAAGATCCGCTCCAGGGGGGGGAGAGGGGGGGTGCGAGGGCCCGCGCCGATCGGCAAAACAAGGAATAAAAAACGATCGCGAGAGGGAATGAGAGAGGCCTATTGGACAATTCTCGCTTTCCGCTCCTATAGACGCCTCCAGGGGGCCCCAAAAGGGCTGCCAAGGGGCAACCAGGAGGCCGCGAGCCGACCCCGGAAAAAAAGCATCCGAGAAGGCACGGCATGAGCCCCAGGAGGCTCCAAGAAGGCAGTCGAAAGTCTCGAAACTGCGACGGCGTGCTCTCGAGAATCTCGAAACTCGAGAAACTCGAGAAACGCGAAAGGCATTCGAGAATCTTCGAGAATCTCGAAACTCGAGAACTCGGTTGGGAATATTATTTTTGTGACAGCGAGTTCACGCAGAACCAAACGTAGGACATCACGAAACACCGCTTCCTACATTACGTATGTGACTGCATCGACCGAAAACGACACAGCGAGCTGTAGGAACACACGAACCACGCGTTCCTACACAGGGTTTGGCCATGAACCACGCTTTCCTACAAGTGGTTTTCCTACATCGCCATGAGCTAACACACCGTCAGCGCGTCTACGGAGTATCCCGGCGACCATCCCACGCACGTGTGATCGACAACCCCGACACAGTGGCTGGATGGGCCGTGGGCCAGCGCATCAGCCTGCTGCATTGGTTTCGCCGTGCAGTGCGCGGCGACTGTCCTTCGGAAGGGCTTTGGTTCTTCGGGAAGACCTCTCCCTGGGGTCTTCACAAAAGATTGAACTCCGATAGTTTGCCGCGGTCTGGCGGGCCCCCCCTCGAGATGTGGGAAGGGCACGGAGCATGGCACGCCACCACGAATGAACTCAGGAGGTTGGCGAATGTTGCGCAAGCCTGTAGAATCGGACACCTCAGCTCTTTAGTTAGCCAGTCTGTCACACAAAAACATGCGGACCATGTGCGCGCACACTGGCCATCGCTCGGACGTCCACTCCTTGTGTTTTTGTTCGGTTTCGTGCGTGGCTTTTTCGCCAAATGATCAAGGATGCTCCTCGATGGTCCTCGCCGAAGGAAAAATGCACACGTCCGAGCGATGCCAAGCACATGTCGAACACATTCCACCACCATCGCGCGCCCATGCTGGCCACACGCGCGCGCCCTCGGGCGCGTGCGGCCCAATCCGTCCAACACTTTTTTGGCACGCTAACTCTGACAGCACGAACATATACGAAAACCAAATGGTGTTCAATCGAAACGTGTCACGGTGCCTGAATTTCTGCGGGTGAGCCCTTTCACATCCTGATCAGGACGATCGCCAGCATTGTCATCGTCATGATCATCGTCATCGAGATCATCATCATCATCATCATCATCATCATCATCATCATCATCATCATCATCATCAGCAGCAGCAGCAGCATCAACGTCATCATCAGCATCACCATTATTATCATCATCAGCATCATCATCAGCAGCATCATCACCATCACCACCACCACCATCATCATCATCATCATCATCAACAGCATCATCATCATCAGCATCATCATCATCATCAGCAGCATCACCAGCATCACATCACAATCACTATCACCATCATCATCGTCGCGATCATCGTCACCGCGCTGTCAGCGTTGATGTCGTGGCCCTCGTACAAATGCTGCGCGGGGGGCACTTCCGCCTCCTCCTCTTATTCTTCATCATCATCGTCGTCATCAGCATCAGCATCAGCATCGTCATCATCATCATCATCAGCAACATCAACATCGTCATCATCATCATCGCTATCAGCATCAGCAACATCACCATCATCATGATCAATATCAGCATCATCATCAGCACAATCATGATCATCACCATCACCATCATCATCATGCCCATCACCACCACCACCATCACCACCATTGTCATCATCATAATCAGCATCAGCATCAGCATCAGCATCATCAGCATTAGCATTAGCATTAGCATTAGCATTAGCATTAGCATTAGCATTAGCATTAGCATTAGCATTAGCATCATCATCATCATCATCATCATCATCATCATCATCATCAGCATCATCATCATCATCATCATCATCAACAACATCTTCACCACCCACCATCGCAGACGTCGTGGTCGACATCGCACCGCCCCCATCTCCACTGCCATCGCCATCGGCATCGGCGTCATCACCAAAGTCATTGCCATCGTTGCTGGCGCCGCAGCCATCACCATCGCGGCCAACATTTCGCAACCTGGAGGACCAACTCGTCTGCACGGGTGAGTTCCACTCGCCCGTGCGCTCAATGAGATCATGGCCACGTGAGCGTTGCCACCAAGTTGCGGGCGAATGGGTGGTATGCTTGCACGAGCAAGGGAGGTGGTCACGACCGCATGTTGCGTGGTGGGTGAGCTAAACCATAAAAAACACCCAAGGTTGAACAACAACGGTCCCGGGAAAGAGGTACAGACATCTAGGGAGACCACGCTGCGAAAAGATCACGACATCGGGGATCTGGAGAAGAGGGGAGGAGGGAGATGCGTAGGAGGGGGGGAGAGTGAGGAAGCGAAGGAGGAAACAAGCCCGCCTCCCTGATGCAGGAGATGTCGCTGATGTTCTGCGAGCACCAGCTGGCGCACTGTGTATTGTTCATCTTCCAGTTGGGCGACTCATCGAACGCGTAGTCATACAATGCACGCAAGTCTCCACTGCACAGAGCACTGGAGTCCATACTGGCGACGGATTGCACACCCTCAACCGAGGCGCTAAGTCGGATTTCAGGGGAAGCCACCTCTGGGAAGAGGTTACTGGCCAAGACACCGACGACAAGGAGGATGACGCAGATATTGACCACGAGCTGCATCAACCACAGCCGCTTGTTCTCGATTCCAACCTGGGTGCTCTGCCGATCTATAGAAGCGGTGGCGTCTCTTGCATCACACGATCCAAGGACAGAACCATAGGGGTAGACATCCGCTCGCGCTCCGCACACAACCTGTCCATACTAGAGCATCCTGCGCCGGGCTTTTGGACGCCCGAAATGGGTACGGAAAGAATGGGTGCAATGCCCACCGACAAACGTTGTCCCAAACCAACAGCGGCCGCTGTTGGGCAGGCTGTCTTCTGTCTCAAATGGACAGAGGCCGCGGCGACAACGAGAGCGAGCCCTGTTCAAAATGAACAGGAACTGCTTCTGGGCAGTGTACCCATTCTTTCCGTACCCGCTTCGTTCGTGCCGAGAGCTGGAAGCTGGTTTGAGATGCTTCGCTGGATCTGATCATTCCTGGGCACGACAGGCTCCCCAGCCAGAGCGGCGACAGCGGCAAAAGCGGCAGACGCTGCGCGAGCTGTGCGCTGCGCCAGCTGCACCCCTGCCCGGCCCGCCGCGCTCCGACGTTGACGAGCGCTTGGCGACCGCGACAGCGCCGACCTGACGCCGACGACCTGCCCCGCCCACCCATCCCCCGCGTGTGCTTGCTTCCTGTTGCCCCTGCCCAACCACCTCCTCCTCCTCCTCCTCCTCCTCCTCCTCCTCCTCCTCCTCCTCCTCCTCCTCCTCCCTCCTCCTCCTCCTCCTCCTCCTCCTCCTCACTCTCCTCCTCACTCCTCCTCGTCCTCCTCCTCCTCCTCCTCCTCCTCCTCCTCCTCCTCCTCCTCCTCCTCCTCCTCCTCCTCCCCCTCCTCCGCCTCCTCCTCCTCCTCGCTGCGTGTCTGCGCCTGTTCGCTGCTGTCCCTCCTTCCTCCGTCCGCCCTCGTCCTCGTCCTCGCCCTCGTCCTCGTCTTCGCCCTCGGCCTCGTCCTCGACTCGTGGCCAGGCAGAGCCTCAGCGACGTGCAGGAGGAACCCAACTGCCAGTACGAGGCCAGCCTCACGGAGCAGAGCACCAGGCACAACCTCGCGAGGTCCGACGGCGAGCGCGAAGAAGAACAGGCTGAGGTCGGGGCCCGCGTCAACAAAAAGCATAACGCCAGCCTCACTGAGCAGTGCCTCAGCGGCACGCTAGCGTCCCCCAGCAGCAAGGGCGCCTGGCCGCAGCGAGGACCGCGATGTCGAGCCGAGCATCAGCGACGTGCGGGCGAACATCCTCGGCCTGTGCGGTGGAGAACTGGCCGAGGCGGAGGGGGCCCACGGTAATTAACACCCCCCCCAGGAGATCAGCACCACCAGCCGCCCCTGCGGCGCGCACGAGGTCATCCTCACGGAGCAGAGCATCAGCAACGCCCACCCGGGTCCCACAGCAAGCTCGAAGAAGATCAGGCTGAGGCGGACAGGGCCCTTGCTAACCACCCCCAGAACACAAGCCTCCAGCGCAGAGGTGCAACGACGTGCACGCGACCCACCTTGGCAAAGTCGGAGGAGAACAAGCTGAAGCGGTGGGGTCCCGCGTCAACATCCCCGTTCACCGTGATGGAGACCGAGAGCAGCCTCTAGAAAACGAGCTGTGGGCAGAGGAAGGCTCGAAGCTGGCGACCGCGCGCGCCGAGGAGGCCTGCTGAGGAGCCTCTGCTCGGCGACCGTCGCTAAGCGGAGAGCGGTGGCAACGAGAGGCCAGCATCAGGCGAAGCTCGCGGAGCTCGCCAAAAAACGCGAGCATGAGGCCAGGGCCAGCAAGCGACAGCCCTCCCAGCCGCCAGACCGCCGCACGGCGCGACGCGGCGGAAGGCGGCCAGAGCTGAGGCAGCATCAGTCAGCCTGCCGCCAGCGAGGTGCACGGTTTCCCCCGGGGCCGTAGGCGACCCGAGGAGGAGGAGGAGGAGGAGGAGGAGGAGGAGGAGGAGGAGGAAGAGGAGGAAGAGGAGGAGGAGGAGATGGAAGAGGAGGAGGAGGAGGAGGAGGAGGAGGAGGAGGAGGCGGAGGAGGAGGAGAAGGAGCGAGGCGGAGGCGGAGGCGGAGGCGGAGGCGGAGGCGGAGGCGGAGGGGAGGAGGAGGAGGAGGAGGAGGAGGAGGAGGAGGAGGACGGGTCGCCTAAGCCCTTCGGAGAAACACTCCACAGCGAGGGGCCGACCCAGCCCGAGGAGCGGGGCCGAGACTCTGGCGAGGCCTGCTTGCTGCAGGCCCCACCGCGGCTGCCAGGCAGACCAGGGCAGCCGGTGTCAGTCCGCCCAGACGCCAGGCCGCCGCAAGGAGGGGCAAGGCTTATGATGTTCCAACCTACTTTAGCCTTCACCAGAAAGAACTTCGAGCACCAAGAAACTACCGAAACTGGAGGATCCTCACGTGCCGGGCCCTGGGAGGCGACACTCGCGCGACACTGTTTCGACACTTTTTCGGGGTGCTCGAAATTATTTCTGGGATGTGGTCCTCAAGTACGATAGGAACAGCATAAAGCAAGGGGCGCTGCCCAGACGCGTGGGGTCAGGGCGGGCTGCCGTGCGCCACACTCGGCCCCGCGCTGCCGAGCCGCCTGCGCCCGCGCCTCGGCCCCCCCCCGCCGTGGTGAAGCTCCTCCTCCGTCTCGCTCCCCGGGCTAGCGGGCCGCTGCCGCCCGGGGGGCGCGCGGTCCAGAGCGGCCTGGCGCGGGCGTGCGCCCCCACCTCTTCCCCTGTCCGCCCAGCCCTAACTGGGGGGAGCGGTGGTCCTCGCCCCCCTGGGGAAACCCATCGCATCGACGACCTCTCGAGAGGGCCGTCGAAACCGCTGGGTCCCCCAGGGGGGGTCAGGACCACAGCTCCCCCGATTGTGGCTGGCCTGTCTGTGCCCTCCTCCCCGACCCCCCTCCCTTCCCGGAAGCCTCCCTGACCCGGCCCGTCCGCTCGAGGGCCGCACGGGCGGCCGGGGGCGACCGCGCGCAGGCCAGAGGGCAGCTGCTCCAGAGGCGGCCCTGCCTTCCCGGGGGGTGCGGGCCTCCGCGCCCCGCGGTCCCCCACTCGTGTGCCGACGGCCACCGGCGTCAGGCGGCGGGTGGACGTGCAGGAGTTATATGCTCGGGACGCCCGAGGCCGCATCTTTGGAGCCGCCGTGGGGCCTCTCTGGCGCCCTTCGAGCCGCACCAAATCTGTGTTCGGCCTCGATCGGCGCCAGCCGCTGGTTCGTGACACCCCGCGGACCGTCAAACAGTGAAAGATCGCGCGGTTTCCCGCCAACGCAGATCGCCCGATTCTTGGCCACTTGTCGGTGCCCAGCTCGCCGCCGCGCCAACGCGGCGCGAGCCTGCCGTACTCGTGACCTGGAGCATGGGTGACCCAGAAAATGCGAGCGGACTGCCGCGCCCGCTCGACGTCCTCCTCCTCGTCCTCGTAGTCCTCCTCCTCCTCCTCGTCCTCGTCCTCGGGACTGCCCTGCGGCTGGGGCCCCGGCATACTTCGGGAAGTAGACGGTGGGGACCTCGGTGGCCAGCCGTGAGGCTGGGACTGGGAGGACGGCGGGGGGGGGGAATACAAGAATGAGACAGGGAGGGACCAGGGGGGGAGGCGAATGGGGAGGGGAAAGGATGATGGGACGCGAGAGGGGGAGGGAGGGAGGGAGAGAGGGAGAGAGGGAAACAGGGAGGAGGAGGAGGAGGAGGAGGAGGAGGAGGAGGAGGAACAGGAGCAGGAGGAGGATCAGGTTTCTAGGCTACAGAGCTACAGAGAGACGAGAGGGAGGACAAATAGGAAAGGAGGAGGAGGAGGAAGAGGTGGAAAAGGAAGACGAGGAGGAGGAGGCGGAGGCGAAGGAGGAGAACGCTTCGCAGGAACGCGAGTCAACTGTGACTAACTCGGGCCTGCGCACGCCAGGTTCTGGATTGCGCTAAAACGCGCGCCAATCCTCCGCCGCAGCTGCCGCACCCACCTGGCTCGGCTTCATCACGTCAAGCTTCTCGGGCCTCTGGGCCCCTTCCGCGCGTCGCTGCACCAGCTGGCCGAAAATCGTTACCGCCCCCGCCGCGGTCTCGAACTGGAGCTGGCAATCGCGCGCGAAGGTCCCCGCCAGCGCCGCCTCATCACCCCCCAGGCCCGCGAAAAACTCGGCCCACTGATTGTCCAACAAATCCACAATATCGCAACCCTCGGTCGTGGCCTGGTCGCATGGCAGAGGCGGCCCGTGCCGCGCAATCCCAGGGTCAGGGCCAATCCCTTTTAGCATAGTCTTGTCCTCCACAGCCCAGGGCGTCGAGCTTTCGGCTTCTCCTGTTTACGACCTCTTTGGGCCGACTGGTCCACTATCCATCCATGGTCCGTCACAATCGTGGCACGGGCCACCGCTGGCCCCAGGGCCTGGCCAGCCGCATAGCGCTCGGCGCAGGGCGCCGTCTGGGCACGACCTGGAACTCCCCCGACGCGGCCAGCCAAAGCAATCGGGTTCCACGGCCGCCCAGCCGCAACGTCACCTGGGGGCGTTGCTGCTGGCGGCCGCCCCGTCGGTGCACAATGGAAGCCAGCTGCCGATCGCGCGCTGCGTCGTCGGCACCCTTGCCGTGCGGTGCCGAGCCCGAAGCAGGGGGCAACTGACCAACTGCCGAGCTCAGATGGCATTCGGCAGACACGGTGTCCGACCCAGCGCAAGCACTATCGCCCACGAAACCCACCCGGTAGGCTGCCGAGGCGAGAGCCGGATCCCGAGTTGACGACGACAGACCCACGGGCGGGCCCAATGGGCAATCACCTGCGGGAGGTCCTGACCTATTGCAAGCACTATCCTCCGCGAAAGCCCCCACGTCGTCGTTCCTGTTTGGGGGCGCGCCCCCAAGGCCGCAAGCGCCGTCGTCGTTGAGGAAAGATGATAGTGTTGCTGGCGCTGGTCGCAACTTGGATTGTGGAGCAGACGGTCGCCTGAAACAAGTTTCACTAGGCGCTGCCGCGGTCATGACAGTCCTGAAAGACTCCTTTGAACAGGCGTCCGAACCGCCCCAAGAAGCGCCGCCACGAAGCGACGGACTGCGCGGGAAAGGGAGAGACGGGGCAGAACCGCGAGCACACCTGCACCATGCCCTCGCGATGCGCCACATCGAACCCACGCGATCATCGGGCCGACCTACGCAAGACCAAATCTCTCTCCCCCACTTCCGATTCACGCGAAGAGCTGCGCCCGCGCACCCCCCGATACCGCGCGCGGCGGAGATGTCCGCGGGAGACAAACGGGCCCAACGCAACGCGCGCGCTCTGCAAGGGGGGCTACAGAAGCCCCCCCTTCCACGCGCAATCCCGCGCCCTGGCCCCGCGCGGTATCTGTTTTTTTTGAGACGCTCGGTGAGAAAAAAAAAAAAAAAAAAAAAAAGATTCAGCATCGCTGGTCTCCGCCTGGCTTTCGAAGGGCCCTTGCGGCCCCGCGCGTCCACGGCGCACCCCCCGCTGGCGCGCGAAGTCTCAGCGCGCCCCCGCGTCTCTTCAGCCCTGGTCGGACCTCTCGCGCGAGGGTCTCTCGCGCGATCAGCGCAGCGGAACGCGCGACCTCCGCTCAGCGGCCAGGCGAACGAGGCGCAAGCTCGGAATAACAGCGAGGTAGGCATGGCCCTGGCTGACACGCGAGATCGGCATCGCAATCCCTTGAGACGCTAGGCGAAAGACGCCGGGGCGCTCATCTGGCGCCCGAAGCCACGGGTCGCCGCCAGCGCAAAACGCGACGCATCGAGCCATCCAGTTTTGCGCTGGCGGCGCGGGCACCACGCGCGTGAGATCTCGCATCAAGGCAAAAACGAAGGCCGAGCGGGAGCAGGCGTAAGTTTTTGATTCCTGACTCGTCGCGGCGATCGCTGGACAGGGGGCAACCCGCGAAGCAGCCATCCCGTGCAATGGCCGAACATGATCCTCCACTCCGACATGCAAACCAGCAACTTCGCCGCAAGCCTGGGGAGCTTCCTTCTCCTCGGCCTCCACCGAGACGGCCGAGATCGCGCAGGGCCTACCCCTCGCGTTCTGCGCCTGGGGGCCCTGCGCGGCGAGGGTTGGCCCCCCTGGCCTCGCGGCGCTGAACGTCGCCAGCTGCTTCCCAGGCGAAGACGAGCAACTTTTCGAGGGGCGGGGGGATCTGCGGCAGCTGGGGGGCCAGCGCGACGAACTCACAATAGCCGCAGCACGACGCTTTGCCTGGGCCGCGACCTCGCGCCTGCCGGCCAAGCCGTCGCTCCTTGCGCTTCGACCTCTCAGCCAGGTCGGCGTCCTCGCCGCCCGCCAACTTCTCGCGCTCATACCGCGCGTGTATATGCGCGGCCCCTGCATGGGCACCCGATGAGCGATCGCCCGTGCCCTGGTAGCCCTTCCGGCAACGCGCTGGGCACGTTAGTCGCGCCCGCGCCCGCGCAATTCGAAATGCCCCCCGCCGCTTGGCCTCCAGCTCCAGGATGCCCTTCCGCGCGGCTCGACGCCGCTGGAGCTCGGCACCAGCAACCGCGGGGGCGTGGTCCAACGCGCGCCTGCGCTGCCAGTCGGCCCCTGCCAGCACCACCTCGCGGATCTCCTCGGGCGGCGTCGTCGGCGCCGAGGGGGCCCCGCATCCCTGATCGCGCAGCTGCGCGGGACACCGCGCCAACTCCCAATCGATCCTCGCCGCCGGACCATTGCAACGATTGGCCCCAGGCACAAGGCCCAGCTCGGGTTGTCGCCTAGCCCGCACCCCCCCCCCCCCCCTCCACAGCCACCCAAACTGGCACTGCCATGCCGCGCGACTCGCCGCCCAGACCGCGCTCGATCGAGCCAGACAATGGGCCCAAGAACTCCGGCTTCTGGTTGGCCGCATACCACGTTAGAGAACGGCCCCTTTGTGGGCATACTGTCGCCACTTCTGCAGTCGACCCCAACATCGCAGGCGCCGGGTCCAAACTGTCCGACGCGCTCGCTCCGTGCCCCGACGACGCGCATGCGCCAACCGTGGTTCCGACACCCTGCCGCAATTTACGCACCTTGGGCACCCCCCCGATCGCACCCCGCAGCCGTCGCTTCTCTATCGCCCATTTCACTCACGTTCCCATCGGACCGTGCCCAAAAATGGGCGCACGGAACTTGGCCTCGAAATGAAACCACAAGAAGAACATATCCCGCGCTTCTGGGCCTCGACCGACGTGGCCACAAACTGCAACTTGTGGGCCAGCACGAGCATGCCAAGCTCGATGGTCCAATTGCGCACATAAACCGTCGCATACCACACCCCGCGTGCACGTCGGAGATTCTTGCCTGCCCACTGGAGCGATGTGTCATCCATCAGGCCTCTGGGAGCCACCTATCTACAGATGCGTAGAGTGTCCGTGATGGCGGTACAGCAGCACACCCAACAACGTCGTCACGTGACTGCAACCCGCCTGGATCCCCTGGAACACTCGCCCGAAGCTGGAGCAGTTCCCGTAGCGCGGGCGTACCTCGGCTAGGATTGCTGCGTGATGAGGCACCACACCAAGCGCAGTGGGCAACCCACCGCGCGCGCCTTTATGAGGTCATCACGACGGATAACCCCATGTCATTTGGCCATGTCCTCGGGAAGCAAACAATGGCATAAACATAAATACCCGGAGGTACGCGGGGATTTCTCCGATCGGCGTTGGACCCCTCCTTGGCGCGCGGAGCGCGCCAGGGGCGGCGCCAAAGGCGCCGCCAGGGGGCCCCAGCGCCGATCCGAGAAATTCGCGCGGACCTCCGAAATGTTATGTTTATGTCATTCTTCGTTCCCGGAATGTCACTTGGCCATGTCCATCATCACCGTGGTCACGCGCTTGCCCGTCATGCGCGCCACCTCTGCCGTGATGTTCGCGCCGCGCTGTCCGAGGAGGTGCGGCCGCCGCCGCTGCCCCAGAAAAGACCATCTTCGCGCGTGTCCTCACACCTCGTGGGCGCCATTCTGCGGGCGCGCCCCCGCCACCTTGACAACGTGCGCAGCAGAGCGACGAGGCGGCGCCTGGCTTCAAGCTTGCTCAGCCTGATCATGCCTGACGCTATACAGTCAGAAAGCCGAGCCCCCAACTTCTCGCAGGCGTTCAATCTCTCCGCCACACGCTTCAACACCTCCATGGGCAGTCGTTGGAACTCCCGTTGGCGCACTCGAAAAAGGCCAAGCGCCGTTCCTTCAGAAAATTGCCCAGCTGCCTTACGCAAATCCTGCAGTGCGAACCGCGGCAGCTTCTCCCAAGTCTCTAAGTCGGACGGGCGCAGGAGCTCATCATTCCCATGCCCCTACCAGCTATCCAGCCCAACTTCCTAGACAAACATCGGCTCGTTCAAAATGTTGCGCTCCATGTCCCGCGTCTGCCAGCGCCTGCAGATCGGTCACCTTGGACATCGTAAAGATTCCCCGAGCTCCGTCCTCGGAACCCCTTCGCGAGGTCAGCAAGGCCCCGTTTGCGTTAACTCGGGCGTGTCCCCCTACAGGGGGATTTTTGACAAAAGAGAAAATACGCAAAACATAAACTCCGAAATCGTCAAGACAAATTATCCCGGCAAAGCAACCTAACAGCGATGTGTAGGAACATATCTGGAAGCATTCCCCTTAAGATTCAGATGAGAATCCACTTGTAGAATTCTGCTGTTCTCGCAGTCGTAGTCGCATTCGCGATGACAGTCGCAGTGGCAACGGCAGTCGCAGTCACAGCCTCAGCCTCAGCCTCAGCCTCAGCCTCAGCCTCAGCCTGCCTCAGCCTCAGCCTGCCTCAGCCTCAGCCTCAGCCTGCTTCAGCCTCAGCCTCAGTCTGCCTTCAGCCTCGGCCTCAGCCTCAGCCTCAGCCTGCATCAGCCTCAGCCTCAGCCTCAGCCTGCCTCAGCATCAGCCTGCCTCAGCCTCAGCCTCAGCCTCAGTCTGCTTCAGCCTCAGCCTCAGTCTGCCTTCAGCCTCGGCCTCAGCCTCAGCCTGTCTCAGCCTCAGCCTGCCTCGGCTGCAGCATCAGTTTGCTTCAGCATTGAAAATGTGGCCCAGGAATGGAGTTCTGGGAACTAGAAGAACACGAAGTGGCCTACAGTTGGCTCCGGGCATTCAAAATCATGCCCACGAATGGAGTTCTGGGCACACGAAGAGCACGAAGTGGCCTACAGTTGTCTCTGGGCATTCAAAATGTGGCCCGGGAATGGAGTTCTGGGAAGTCGAAGAGCACGAAGTGGCCTACAGTTGGCTCCGGGCATCCAAAATGTGGCCCGGGAATGGAGTTCTGGGAAGTCGAAGAGCACGAAGTGGCCTACAGTTGGCTCCGGGCATCCAAAATGTGGCCCGGGAATGGAGTTCTGGGAAGTCGAAGAGCACGAAGTGGCCTACAGTTGGCTTCGGGCATTCAAAATGTGGCCCGGGAATGGAGTTCTGGGAGGTCGAAGAGCACGAAGTGTGTGACTGTTTGCTTAAAACGAGCCCGGCCCTGAGCCCGGCCCTCGCTGTCCGGATGCCGCCCAGACCTCCCTTCTGAGTCATCAGATGCTCTCTTTTGACACCACTAGAAGCCTATCAGTCTTCGCTGTTAGGTAATTACTCAAACAATAATTATCCGACTATTTTTATACTATTTTTAAATATTCCTCCTGTAGAGGGACAAGCCCGACTTAACGCTTGCGCACCGCCACGACTGCAAACCCGGGCCGAGAGTGCATAAGCGCGCCCCGGCGGACACACCGCGAAAGGCATGGGCCATCTGACAGGGCGACGCGGGGTTTCAAGCCATTCCCCCCCGAGGCCGAACCCTGGCATCGCGGGAGGTTTTGTGGTGCCCATCTGGCGGGCGGCGCGGCGCCACAAGCCATTCCCCCCCCTGAGGGCGCACCCTGCATCGCAGAAGATGTTTTGGGGCGGGAGGGGGGTGACAACGGTCGCCATGGAGGACCGGGGGTCCTGACGGAATAGTGTCAACCTGGACAGTAAGGATGCGCGACAAGAATGCAAGGGCCTTGGACGCCCATTTCGGAGCGTTTCGAGCGGGGCGCGGCCAACGAAAGTGTCCAAGGATGGACCCGGAGGCAAGGATGCAAGGGTACCCTTGGGAGGGATGCCTATCCTTACTACGCGGGTCGACTGTACACATGAAAGACCGAAGTGGGCAGGACAAACATGGAGGTAACAGCAAGTGGTGTCCAGAACCGACAGCCGCCGCTGTTGGGCGGGCGGCCTCCTGTCTCCAGTGGACAGCGTCCGTGGCGGCGCGGGCAACGAGTCCTGTCCAAAATGAAGAAGAAGTGCTGGTTGAGCATTCTGCCCACTGCTTCCGTACCCACTTCGCTTCGCTCCTGCAGAAAACGGGTCCTGGACCCTGGATCTTTCCCCAGGACCAGAGGAGCAGGAGGAGAAGGGGGAGCAGGAGGAGGAGGAGGAGGAGGAGGAGGAGGAGGAGGAGGAGGAGGAGGAGGAGGAGGGCCCCCCGAACGGCGGGCAACAAGCAAGACCCTTCTCCTGCAGGATCCCGGCCCCCTCAAGCGGACGTGACGGGGAGTGACGGGAGCCCCCTGCTTCGTCGGAAGGCTGCACACGCCCTGACCCTGGCCCCCGTTCATCTCCTCGATCCTGGAACCTCGGCCCTCGGTTGTCGATCGTGCGCCTGGCTGGGGAGTGTAGCAGGATCTTCCCCATCCGCGAGAGCCTCCTCCCTCCACCCAAGCGGTAGGTCGGGCATGTCCTCCTGCAGGTGGATCCTGGAAGAAAATTATGTTAGCCAGCGTGGACCCCAAACAGTATTTTCTTCCAGTCTATGCGGTGCAATCTGTGTGGTGCAGCGTATGCGATGCAACCTATGTGATGCGATCTATGCGGTGCACGCTATGCGGTGCAATCTATGTGGTGCAATCTACGGTGTGCAGCCCACTCTGCTGAACTTGAAGTCGTCATCTCCACTGCTCGCGCAAACATCCCACCCACCCACCCGCAACTTGGTTTGCAAAACCTCTTAAGACCGACTACGACGACACCGACGACAACGACGACGACGACGACACCGACGACGTCTCCGACGACTTCGACGACGGCACCGACGCCGACGCCGACGACGACGAAGACGACGACGACGCCAACGAAGACGACGACGAGGGAGGAGGAAGGACGACGACGGCGACAACGACGACAACGACGAGGGAGGAGGGAGGACGGCGACGACGCGAACGACGAAGAAGTAGGAAGGACGGCGACGCCGACGACGACAACGATGAAGGAGGAGGGAAGACGACGACGACAACGACGACGACGACGAAATAGATGGGACGACGACGAGACGCCGACGACGGACGACGACGACGACGAGGGAGGAGGAGGAAGGACGACCACGGCGACAGCGACGACGGAAACGACCACGACGCCAAAGAGGACGACGACGACGAACACGAGGAAAGACAGAGGACGACGTAGGCGACGACGACGACGACGCGGGAGGAGGGAGGACGGCGACGACGACGACGACGACGACGCAAGAGCGCGCGCGCACGCTTTTGTGGAAAATGCGTGTTGCGAAACCTTGGGTTTTTGTAGGTTTTTTGGACATACGATTTTGAAATCCTTCCGAAACCGATGGGTTTTGAAGGTTTTCGGCATACGCGCGCGACGACGCGCGCGTCTGCACTTCGTCCCATTTTTTGCACAGGATTCTCGCGACGGCACAAGCGCAAGGGCGTTCGACAGATTTCGACATGCGCGCGCGAAGCCCGTGTAATAGGATGTTGTGAACATCTTTAAAAAAAACATATGGTTTCTTAAGATTTCGCAAGAGCTCGCGCGGAAGCTTTTTTAGCAAATCAGTGTTGCGAAACCCTGTGCTTTTGCATGTGTTTTGGAAACTCGATTGCGAAGGTTGTTGAAGGATTTCGGCATGCGCGTGCGACGACGCTCGCGTGCGCATTTCGTTCCATTTTTTGCAAGGGATTCTTGAAAAAGTGCGATGTTAGAACCAAAAATGTCACCGCATAGTGTTGTTTACAAGGGAACCTCAGGGGGGGGGGAACCTGGCCTGGCTGGGATGATCTGATTTCATATTTAGGATGGACGAGTGTGCAGAATCTATATGAAATCATTTTATCCCAATGGGAAGCGTTAAGTCCGGGGGGGGTAGAGTCTATTCTCTTTTAAGAAAGGAGAATCTATGTAATGCAATATACACGGCGCAACCTATGTGGTGCAAAGTACGCGCGGCAACCTTGTAATGCAATCTATGCGGTGCACTAAACGTTGTAAAATATATGTGGTTCTACGCGGTGCAACTAACGCGCGGTAACCTATGTAATGCAATCTATGCGGTGCAACCTATGTGGTGCCATCTA